ATTAAGTACTTATACAAAATTTTATTAAAATAAAACCATTTAAACTGGGTGTTCGGATTTATATGTCACTTAGTATTATTCTCTTTCAAGAAGAAATTGAGGATTTGGTTAAATGACCAACCTCGTATTGAAATTCATAAACATTTCAAATAATTAATATTTTTATGAACCAACAATTATTTTATATACTATACTTTCTAATATTGACATTCTAGAAATATGCTTTAAATGAACAAATAACATACATATCGGTAACATGCCTAATAACCTTTTGCACAGGGTATCCTTCTATGAGACATGTATGTCCCTAAATTATTTTTAACTGCACAATGTACTATTTCAAATATTTCTCAAATATTCATACAATGTTTTAAATAATTATAATAACCCATACACAGGCATTGCTTTCTATGGGATTTTATATTTATTTACTTTATAGGTTCATGAAAAAATATTTTTATTATTATTATTATTATTTTTTATTGCATTTTTGAATGAGGAGTTATATCTTACATGAATTTTCTTGCGAAATTTTTTTCAGACCATTCCTTTTGGAGAATAATTGATTTGAATATTGGAGGTGTAAAAAACTTCAACCGTTTATACATGAAAAATACGCCAAAGTCAGTGAAGTTTAACATTACAAATTGTATGTAGTGTATTTGAAGAGCAATCCCATCGCCGTTATTTAGCGTTATTTGAACAATGTTCATGTTTTATCCTCATTTAGCTTCATCAGTACCGTTTACATTTACAACGCCCCTATCTTGGTGATGATACATTTTATAACCTATGCTTATAGGGATTTTTTGTTACTTTTGGATGCACTTTTTACTGTAGGAGTAATGCTACGTTTTTTATAAATTTTCTGCACGATCTTTATTTGTCATAGTTGAAAATCAATCATTCAGCTATGTCTCGTTGATTCGTGATTAACGCACCCAATTTACCTATAGGAGCAGTTCTAGGTGGAACTTACGGATACCCAAGAATTATTGATTTTTTTCACAATCTTCACAAACTAAAATTTTCATTTTCGTTCCTCGTCCCTAGAAACGAGGGAAGCTTGGTTTGTTCTGGTAATTTAGGATGATTATTTATATAGTGGTCGGCCTAGAAAACTAAATGCTAGATCAGATTAATAAAAGTAATTTCGTCAAAAGATCCATCTAAAACTCCAAGACAAATAAAAGCCGAAATCAAGACAAAAGGAATTGTCAGTGTCTCTACGAAAACTATAAGTAGAAGATTAAATGATTTGAAGTTATTTGCACGTCGCCTGAGTAAGAAGCCGCTAATCTCGAGGAAAAACGGTAAGGACCGATTACAATTTGCATGGTTGCATCTTGATTGGAGCATCTGTGACTGGAAGAGGGTATGTTTCAGTGACGAATCCAAGTTCAGTATGTTTGCATCAGATGGTGTTAATTACGTTAGACGTTCTAGTGGACAAAGATTGAACCCCAAGTACACTTTGCCCACTGTCAAACATGGAGGCGGGTCTGTTATGGTTTGGGGGTGCTTTTCGGGATTTGGGATGGGACCTTTACATAGAATAGATGCCATTATGGATAAGTTTGTATACACAGACATACTAAAGCATGTCATGTTACCCTATATGGAAGACAATATGCCCTTAAGATCAATCTTCCAGCAAGATAATGACCCGAAGCACACTTCAAATTCTTTCTGGATGAAAAAATACCAGTTCTCAAATGGCCTTCACAGTCTCCCGATGTAAACCCCATTGAAAATCTATGGGAATACTTAGATAAGCAAATACAAGATAAAAATTATTCAAACAAAGATGAACTTTTTGCCGCTTTGGAGCAAAAGTGGAGACAGATTGATGAACCTTATATCAAGAAACTTCTACAATCTATGCCGAGACGATGCCAGGCGGTGATTGTTAATAATGGTTATGCTACAAAATATTAACACAAATACGTTTGGTTTTCTATAATTCAATGAACTTTGCTTCTTTTTTCTATAATTGTTTTGCTTTGTCTATATATTTTTGTCCTTCATAGTTCCAGCTTTTTTCAATTAATTTTTTATTGAAGGGAGTCTTATGCATTTATTTATGTATAAGTATTATGCTATAACGAATTATGTATATTGGTTGGTGTATTATTAAAACAAGTTAAAAAAGAGATGCAGCACAATATTAATTTGTCTATATACTTTTGTCCATTACTGTAGGTCTGCAGCATTTCAACGTTCTTTTTCATTTCTTGCAGTTCAAATGTGGAACAGTCTAAATAATAATGTAAAGGTACTGTCACAAAGAGTGTTCTCAAAGAATATAATGGCCATGCTTCTTCAGGAACAATAATACAATAATGAGTGTGATTGTGCACGGATACTTATTGTAAAGTTTACTTTTTCAAATTTATTTTTTTATTAAGACGGAGAACCGAGCATGTGATGGTAGATGTGTATGTGTATGTGTGGATGTGTTTCGCTGTGGTTAACTATATGAGGGTTCGTCGGTGTGTCTTCGCGTCTGTTGCTTTCTGCCGCTCTTCGCCCCTCTCCGGTCGGAACGTTGACATTTTAAGTGTGTAAATACATATTTTTTCTGCGATATCAATGGTTCATGCTTATAATAAATCGAAGCATTAAATTCCTAAATATTGTTTATATATTATAGTTTGTGTAAATTAGTGTATAACAGGGCATTTTCACACTTATGTGAGGCTGTTTGTTAACGGTCATTTGTGATCGAGAATTTGTCCTTTTTGTCAAAAATATTATTATTTGAGTGTGTTTTGTATGATACGGGGATACGGTGGAATGTTTTTTTTTTGGCAAATAAAATGTATTTGAATTTGAAATATCGTCATAAAAATGCTAAATCGGATACTGATTTCGAATCCTACACACTTTCGCGAGCCTACTGGTCAAAAAATCTGAATCTGCAAATAACACTGGACAACAAATTTTAGTTTTTTAATTGTATCTTGTGGGAAAAGTGCACTTCTTTGTTAATTTTGGGGCGCGGAATCCAAAAATGACAATGAAATAAAAAAATTAGTTGCGGTTTAGAAAAAAACTTTTTATTTTTAAGGATATATTAAAAAAAGTAAGATTCATATACTTATAAGAATCACTATATGCGCTGTCTTTTTGCTGTTCTTTCATGGATCGTTTCTGGAGCATCTCTACCAAGAGTCCAACAGTAGTCTGCAAGCATGGAAGGATTCCACTTTCCCTGGTACCTTTTTTCCATTGTTGAAATATCCTGATGAAAACGTTCGCCGTGCTCATCACTTACGGCTCCGCAATTGTCAGGAAAAAAGTCCAGGTGTGAGTGTAGGAAATGTATCTTAAGAGACATATTACAGCCCATCTTTTAATACGATGACAGCATATTTTTGACAAGGGTTTTATAGTTGTCAGCTTTTCTATTTTCCAAGAAATTAGTGACCACCAGACGGAAATCACTCCAAGCAGTTTTTTCAATACCTGTTAAAGTGTTTTCAAACTGTGTATCTTTCAAAATATTTCGAATCTGTGGCCCAACAAAAATACCTTCTTTAAATTTTGCCTCACTTAGTCTTGGAAATTTCTGACGCAGGTATTGAAAAGCTGACCCATCTCTATCTAATGCCTTGACAAAGTTTTTCATTAGGCCCAACTTGATATGCAGTGGTGGTTATAATTTTTTTTTCGAATCTACTAATGGCATATTCTGTACATTTTTTTGACCTGGCTCTAGGAATTGACGAACAGGCCAGTTTTGGCTGGCGCAATGAAGTGCCTTTGCCCGACTGTCCCATTCACACAAAAAACAGCAAAACTTTGTGTAGCCTAGCTGCAGCCCAAGTAAAAGTGCAACAACTTTCAAATCGCCACAAATATGCCATTGGTGCTCATCGTATTTTATGCATGCCAGTAAGCCGTTAATGTTACTGCAGAAAACCAAGTTATTCTCCATATTGAAAAATGGTTCTAAGTCTTTGTGGCGTTTACGAAAAACACGTACCGAAACATCGTCTTCTAACAAGTTCCACTGCTGCAGTCTTGATCCAAGTAACTCTGCCTTACATTTTGGAAGTTCTAAATCTTTTACAAGATCATTTAATTCTGACTGTGTTATTTTGTGCGGTTGGTGGCATGACGTGCTCGGTATAAAATCAGGATCTCTTGACGTTGATGGCATATCTTCTTCCTGACGAATCACTCGATCGCCATGATCTGATTCGTTTTCTGATTCGCAAGTGTAGGAGGTTTTTGGAATAAGATTTTCGTCACTGTGAGGCACAGGTCTCATCGCAGATGGTATGTTTGGGTAGTTAATAACCGATTTTTTTTTCTTGGACATACCTGTGGCTTGTACAACACAAGGTACCATGCAAAAGTATCAATCATTAATATGATTGGTAGGCTCTCTCCAAACCATTGGGACAGCAAAGCGCATAGACCGTTTTTTACCATTTAACCAGCTCCTCAGACTTGAAGCACATGTATTACAGCAGATGTGGGGTGCCCACTGTTTGTCTTGATCACCTAGTTTACAACCGAAATAAAGCTGATATGCCTTTGTTATTAGTGGAGTAATAGACCGTCTCTGAGATGCAAAAGTCACATCACCACACACGTAACAAAACTGATCTGGATTGTTTACACACTTTCGAGACATCTTGCATGAACGCTGTCAGCCAACTGAGGAAAAAATGGCTAATATAAAACAATATAATGTACACGTATGTATAACGTAACACAATCATGCCGATTACATCATCTTTCCTTGCCGAATATAAAAATGTAGCACGTGCATTCTTGTGAATTACAGTATATTAACACTGTCACAGCAGGAACACATATAATTACCGTATCTCTAAAACTTGAACTAATATTGAAAAAATAAGTTTCATTCCGGTTTTAGCACATTAAAAATAGTAATATTTTGTTGATTTTATTTAGGATATTTTTTGGCTGTTGATCAGTGTAATGAAAATATTCTTTGGTTCTAATTTTATTTTCTATTGTTTCAGGTATCCCAAATCTTGAGTCTCTGAACCTGAGCGGCTGTTACAACGTTGCCGACATCGGCATTTCCCACGCGTTCGTCGCAGAAGCTCCATCTTTAACCCAGCTCAACCTGTCGTTGTGCAAGCAAGTCACAGACAACTCGCTTAGCCGGATCGCACAGTATCTAAAAAATCTAGAGGTGTTAGAACTGGGTGGTTGCTGTAACGTCACCAACACAGGCCTTGTCCTGATCGCCTGGGGACTGAAGAAGCTGAAAAGGCTCAACCTACGCTCGTGCTGGCACATCAGCGACCAAGGGATAGGCCATTTGGCCTTAGGAAACACCTCCTTGGAATACCTCGGACTGCAAGACTGTCAACGGCTGTCCGACGAAGCTCTGAAGCACGCCACCGGTTTGACGTGTCTCAAATCGATCAACCTCAGTTTCTGCATCAGCATAACGGACAGTGGACTGAAACATTTAGCTAAAATGACGAATTTGCGCGAGTTGAATCTTCGATCTTGTGATAATATCAGTGACATAGGTATGGCGTATCTAGCTGAAGGCGGTTCGAGGATATCCTCCTTGGACGTTTCGTTCTGTGACAAAATCGGTGATCAAGCGTTAGTGCACATCTCTCAAGGACTGTTCAACCTGAAAAGCCTCTCGCTGAGCGCTTGCCAGATTTCCGACGAAGGCTTGTCGAAGATTGCGAACACGCTTCACGACCTGGAAACGCTCAATATAGGACAATGCAGCAGAGTGACAGATAAAGGTTTGACCACCATAGCTGAAGCTTTGACTAGGTTAAAGTGTATAGACTTGTATGGTTGTACGAGAATTACGACTGTAGGTTTAGAGAAAATTATGAAATTGCCACAGTTGAGCGTTTTGAATTTAGGACTGTGGCATGTTAGGTGAAACGCGTTCCTTTAGATTAGTTATCTCGCTCGTGTTTTAGCATTTTTGACGTATTCTTCAAGAAGATGCTCAGCCGTGTGAACGTTCACTAAAATTTTCGTCGTCACAGCCAGGTTGTAGAATCTCAGGAACTTCCTAATTCCCGTGAGCAAGATGCAAGAGAGATCTTGATCCGACGTACAGTAGCGGACAAAAGTTTGGAAATAGTCATTTTTAAAATGTGCGGTAATTTTTTATTCTTTATTATTAAGGTCGCACGTCTTTTTTTTAGTTTTTTTTCAACTACCTGTTTACAGCAGTAGAGGAAGTGGTCCGAATATGAGCCCCCCATTTGTTTTTTTTTATAAATTTTGGAAACTTACGAATAAATATCCAGTAAATTACACACTGCACGCTCAAAGGTTTACCTTATGGTATATTAAAAAGGCATTATCAAAAAAATTAAATTTAGGTCGAATTTGTGTCAACACTTAAATTATGTACAGATCTACTTTTGGATTAGACTGCGTGGAATATGGGCCCCCTAGTAAAATAATTGACAGGTATCTAACAATTTGAAAAAACATATATTTTTCAAATAAAAAAAACTGAAAATGAAAATGAAAATACATTTCAACTTAAAAACTAAATATTACACGCAAAAGTCACAAATATATGCATCTTTTTCGGCACCTGAACATTGTTCGTGAGCCCATTGATTGCACATGAAGCATTGAATCCATAGCTCTCCTCTCTGGTCATCGGAAAAGCAACCATCACAAAATAGGCATGCTGTATCACAGTCATCAGGAACAGATTTGCCAATTTCGTCGATATCCATATCTTCATCGTCTGGGACAAACTCGTGACTTTCATCCTCAGAGTCGTTGACTTTATTGTCTTTTGCTTGCTGTCTTTTTTTGTTAGTTGTCTTCTTTGCTTTTGATTTTAAAAAGACTTGTCGTTTGGTGCTTGCTTTCTTAGGCGTGTTGGTGCAGGATTTCTCTAACTCATCCTTGTAGGGGGAAGAGGTGATCACTTGCGATTTAGTTGATTTTCTTCCCCGAGTGGTATTTTTCTTTGTGACAGAAGGTACAGGTGAAATGTCAAATGGTGAGACCAATTTAACGGAATTTTCCTTTCCTGGAACAGATGGTCTAGAGAAATTGGAATTTGACGGCGACGATGTTGCCTGGGATTGTAATTTAGCTGTATCGTCCCAAAGAGAACATCCTGGCTGAGGTTCTGGGGTACCATGCTGGGGTTCTGTTGTGACAGGCTGCGCTTGAGGAAAAATGTTGCAGTTTTTCTCAGCCTGAATTCGTTCAGATATAAAATCTGCTTCAGAAAAAATGTGACGGTTGAACGGATATATTCCCGTCGCCCTAAAACCACTAGCAGCTATTTCGGCACACTGTGATTTTAAAAAGGCTTTACCTAAAAGTTCTGCCAAGTCAAACTGTGTGAGGGCTCGTTGGTTAACACGAAGCCAATTTCTAATTTCCTCACTGTAATAAGCCTTGAAACTTCCCATGAATGTTTTATCAAGGGGTTGTAATTTATGAGTTGAGTGAGGCGGCAAAGAGATAATGGAAATATGATTTTCACGAGCTAGTCGAATTACTTCTAAGTTTCGTGTGTGGCTATAATGGCCATCTAACACTAGCAGAACTGGACATTCTTTTGTTGGTTTAACAAATTTTATGAAATGCCTCATCCAATCGGAAAACAAATTCTGTTGCACCCACCCACTTGGATGTACTGCATAGATTGAACCTGGAGGAGCCCCTCGCATCAGCTGTTCGTTGCGATTTTTTCTCGGGAAAATTAACATGGGCGGTACAAATTGACCTCCAGCGCTCATTGCAGCTATAAACGTAACTAGTGAACCCCGTTCGGCTGAGGTAATTGAAGCAATTTGCCGTTTTCCTTTTCTTCCCACCACTGATGCCACCTTACTTTGAACAACTGAAAGCCCAGTCTCATCTACATTGTAAATTTGGTGAGGCGAAAAGTTATTTTTTGAGTATTCACTCTGCAAATTGTCAAAAAATTGCTCCACATTTTCCTTATTGAAGCCTAATGCTCTAGCGAAGGAAGTTCCTGTTGGTCTTCGAATAGAAAGTACACTTTTGTGACGTAGTAAAAATGCATCCAACCAGCTTCTCCCCGCCACACCATTTTTAAATGGATGAGCTATTCCATTACAAACAGCTAAGACATATGCCATTTTTCTAATGTCCTTTCTTGTGAGACCATAGTAAGTAGCTTCCATGGACAAAACATATTGAACAAGTTCTTCCTCCAGTTCTTTTCCTAATGTTGTCTTTCTTCCTAGTTGAGTTTTAACTACGTCACTAATATTTAAGTTACCTTCCTTTTGTTTTTTTAACAGTCTTTGAAGTGTAGATCGTGGCACGCTGAACTGTTTGCTTGCAGTTTTAAGACCCATTATTTTGTTATTAACACCGTCCATAGCCTTAACCATATCTTCACGTCTCCATGTTTGTCTTAAGTTCTTTGAAATAAACTTCGCCTTGCTTCGTGGCATAATGAACTGCAAAAACAACTTTATTAAGACTTGGTCCGAATATGAGCCCTGTCCCATAATAGGACCACGGTAGGGGCCCATATTAGCAACATTCCATCTGAATATTTAAAAGCATTCAATTTCTTCTCAATCCATTATTAGGTTAGTTTTTATGTTGGGATATCAAATACTGATCACTATTCTAACATACTAACACATCAACTCACCAGTTTTAAACATAAACGTTAATAAATAGCACAAAAACACTTACCGTAAAATATTTGTTGAACTACACAAATAAACTTATGTCACCTGATACTATAGAGATACACACGAGACTGCGTGCATAAACAGAAAAATGTTTGGGGGTCTAGTAGAAGTATTTTAGTACGAAATTCATAGATGTCGCGACGTGCTCTAGTTGAAATATATTGGGGGCCCATAATAAGTGCAGGGCTCATATTCGGACCACTTCCTCTATTCTAAATCCTTTTCATATTATTTTATGAAAAAAAATGAGTCGACAAAAGTATGGAAAAATTTATTTTTTATTACAAAATTAAATACAATAACTCTGCAAAAACATTTAAAAAATACTGTTTAGCTAATATTTGGTAGCGTTGCCTTCAGCATTCAAGACTGCCTGACATCGGCTGCTCATAGAAGACACCAATTTTTTACATACGTATGTTGGAATATTTTGCCAAATATTTTTACATAAACAAATATATCGTTCATATTTTTAAAAGTTTTTCTTACCAGTTGTCATTTTTAAAAAGTGCGCTAATTTTTTATTCTTTATTATTAATTTTTTGTCAAAAAATGCATTTTTCGTACATTTTTTGGACATTTTTTTCTTCAATTGGAACTTGTTAACAAATATAAGTACAGCTCTGAAATTCTGTGTGGATATTCCTCTTTTATGGAAGAATGGTACAAGTGATTACTTTTGTTCTTATCACTTTTCATTTTTCGAAAAATCTATGATTTTTTTGAAGCCTCGTCTCGCATCATGTTGAGTTTTTAAGAAAAGCAAAGATGTTTTGAAGAGAAAAAGTGATAAGAATAAAAGTAATCACTTGTTTCATTCATCCGTAAAAGTGGAATATTCACATACAATTAAAGAACTGTACTAATATATGTTAACAAGTTACGATCGAAGAAAAAATCCATAAAATGTACAAAAAATGCATTTTATGACAAAACAAAATTAAAAACGATATTTTTTAGTCATCTCTATACACATCATGAAATAATCAGATGAAAAGGATTTAGAATACTGTTGCAAACAGATAGTTGAAAAAAAAGCGAAAAAAAAGGGATTATTTTTTTCTCATATAGTTTGCTTACACTCTTGAGGATACAAATGACAATTTGTCTTTGCTGTAGTACTACAATCATCAAAATACCTTCATATTATTTTATGATCAAAAATGAGTCGACAAAAGTATGGAAACATATTTTTTATTACAAAATTGAATACAATAACTCTGCAAAAACATTTAAAAAATACTGTTTAGCTAATATTTGGTAGCGTTGCCTTCAGCATTCAAGACTGCCTGACATCGGCTGCTCATAGAAGACACCAATTTTTTACATACGTATGTTGGAATATTTTGCCAAATATTTTTACATAAACAAATATATCGTTCATATTTTTAAAAGTTTTTCTTACCAGTTGTCATTTTTAAAAAGTGCGCTAATTTTTTATTCTTTATTATTAATTTTTTGTCAAAAAATGTATTTTTCGTACATTTTTTGGACATTTTTTTCTTCAATTGGAACTTGTTAACAAATATAAGTACAGCTCTGAAATTCTGTGTGGATATTCCTCTTTTATGGAAGAATGGTACAAGTGATTACTTTTGTTCTTATCACTTTTCATTTTTCGAAAAATCTATGATTTTTTTGAAGCCTCGTCTCGCATCATGTTGAGTTTTTAAGAAAAGCAAAGATGTTTTGAAGAGAAAAAGTGATAAGAATAAAAGTAATCACTTGTTTCATTCATCCGTAAAAGTAGAATATTCACATAAAATTTCAGAGCTGTACTAATATTTGTTAACAAGTTACGATCGAAGAAAAAATCCATAAAATGTACAAAAAATGCATTTTATGACAAAACAAAATTAAAAACGATATTTTTCAGTCATCTCTATACACATCATGAAGTAATCAGATGAAAAGGATTTAGAATACAAACAGTTAGCTAAAAAAAAGCGAAAAAAGTGACGCGCGGCCTTAAGGACTACTTTTTCTCATATAGTTTTCTTGTATAGTTTTTGTTTGCTGTGGTACTACAAACTAGCATTAAAATACCTTTATATTATTTTATGCTCGAAAATGAGACGACGAAAGTTTGGAAACATATTTTTTATTACAAAATTAAATTTAATTACTCTACATATACAAAGAGATTAAAGAAATACTTCTTAGCTAATGTTTGGTATCATAGCTTTTAGCAGACGTTTAATGTATCGATCCAAAACGTAATCAGTTTATTTCGGTCTTCCGCACCTGGGCCGCGTTGCTGTTGATCCATATTCTTGATATTTACTAATAATTCTCGAAATCGTTCCTTTGTTCATTTATTATCTTTGATAAATGTCAACATTTCTGTCACCGCTTCTAAATAATTCAATTACTTTGTCTCTTAAATCTTTTGAAAATTCTTTTACTTTTGCAATTCTCACTGATAAACGAATTAATACTGCAATACTGAAATGTTTCCATACTTTTGTCGTTTCAAAAACAGTGGTATTAAAAAACACGTGTTTTTTAAGATAGACTTTAATATTTATATTATCTGTTCCTTCACAATTTTAATTTAGTTATTTGAAATAGTACATAATAATGTTAATCTGTTTCCAAACTCTTGTCCGCTACTGTATGTGAACTAACCAAACAGCTATTTTTTTTTGTCTTTTCGTTGCAACTGCCGTGACTCGCAGTAAACTGTGCAGTTGCAAAATGACGGCAAAAAAAACAGCTGTTTTGTTAATGCGTATGCGTCTGATCAACATTGCTGATTGTAAAGCAGGTATTCTAAGTAATTAAAACTCATTTTTTTTAAAGAAATATCTTTATTAATCATGATAGGAGAGATATTTTGCATCTTGTAACAAGTACCTTCACCAAATATGAGGCCTTTATACAGGGGGTACTCTAAAACAGCCAATCAGAATAGTAAAAAAAATGGTGCTTGGAAACACTTATCTGCGCCAGAAATTTGAAGTTTTGAGGGTGACGTAAAAGAGCGGGAGGGTCACAATTTTGCAACAAAAAAATTTATAACGAATGAAGATAACGACATGCGGTTTTCACTAGTTTGTAGGATTTTTCACGCACTTTCTGAAAAAAGACAATTAACACTATCGAATTTGAAGTTTTCCAAAAGATGGAGTTTCTAATTTTGATGCTTGCACCAAAAGATGTGCAATCCTATATGATGCATATATAAACTTAATTTTGGGAAAACTGGACTTGACCGGTTTTTGCACCGAATCCTTCAATTTCAGTGACACGTGTGGCATAGACATTATCAATATCTGACGCGAGTACTTATATTTTTTTTTTCATTTTTGACAACCTGAAGATACTGAAAGGTTTATACATCTTTCTATCTTTCTGCTCGAGTAACAACCTTCAGCCATCCTCCTATTTATTTTCAAGATGTAATATTTTCACTATAACGACCGGAAACTAAATCCCATAAGATTTGGCAACGCGAGAGATGGCAACGCTGGCTCGCAAAGACGGTGGTCGACGAGTATCTTCTGGTGGAATATGTTAATAAATGGTTTTAGCTATTGTTTGTCGTTTGAATTGCATTTCGGAAATTGCATTTTTGCCTGCGCGACGTTATTTCTGATTGACGAATTGGTGTTGCCGCTGAATGATTGTCAAACAATTATAATTATCAATCTATTATTTGTGTTCAATCTCGAAACGATCGCAATTGTGCTAGACATAAAATATGTATAGCATGATGGATTGAACAGATACATAAATGTATGTATGTATAAAAATTAGGAAAGCTGTAATTGCAGTACGTGTAAATTCTCTTTATACAGGTTCTAAACAGAAACTATTAAATAAATACGAAAGTTGGTTAAATTTTGTCAATTTTTACTATTGAAACCTTTTTCTAAAGAGCAATATGTCTTTGGGGCTTTTCTGAAGTTAGTTCCTATCTAGCCGTTTCTTGAAGTAAAATAATAGCGAAAACCTGGCTACTTTCTCTTAAGTGGCGAGACAATTTGCGGTAATTTTTCCTCGATAATATTAATCTGTCGCATTTAATCAGATAGATACTTGAAATCAATTTCTAGCGCACCTGGGGTTACATAACATTGCACATTATACATGATAACAAATTAATTCAGAAGTTTTAGTAAAAAATTTAAATAGTCATGGTAATTACATCACATTAAACGTTTCACCGGTTATTGGAAAACGTTATGCATAGATGCACTATTTTTTCTTCCTTAAAAAAGCTGATACCCTGTTTTTGCTGAAATAAAGTGAGCCATACATATATGCAGGATATGGACAATAAATGATGCTGTTAAAAGTTACTAGCAGAAGGACAAAATAACATGAGTGTGCCAATAGAGAATATGCATATTTTTTGTATTGTGTCTATTATTTATAATAATAATACCGTAAACATATATTTCACTCATGGAAATGTCTACATTTTTTTAATTGGAATTTATCAATGTCGTTCATTAAACGTCGCATTTTTCGCGCGATTCGCAGTGACGTCACAACTCAAGTTTCGTCATTTTATTCCTTGGAGGATGTATACGCACAGCGTTGCCAGATGGGTCGGTCGGAATTTCCCCAAAACAAGGACATCCCTCAGAATTCCTACTTTGAAAAAATCTAAAAAGCCATAGTTAATCGATAGAAAGGGGTAGCTTTGATTCAAAGAGCGGGGGATGCTTTCTACTAGCGAAATGCGTGATGTTCCCCCCAGAACATTATATCCCCAAGTTAAAACCCCCCAAATTTAGGGAAAAATTTCCTAACATGGCAACCCTGTCAAAGCACCACTGGTATTCCAGGCTTCAAGTTTCGGGGTCAGTTTTACAGCACGAATAGCATTGAAGTTTCCCCTGGTATGTATAGGCTCCATAATTGTATGTTTTGAAAGCTGAATTCTCCTGCTGGTGACAGCACCCATTGTAGTTAGAAAGCTCAGTGGCGGATTCCACTTCAAACAGTACTGTTTGGGGGTGCTGATCAAACTGAACTGAATCAATGACAGCGATAAAAGATTGGCCAATAGCGCGGCGTTTCGATGTTTTAAATTTGCCGCGTATTTTTTCCATTTCTTACTAATACTCGTAATGGTATATCGCATAATAATTATAAAATAAGGTTGAAGGTGCCGTTCTATAACAATATAGACTGCAAATAAAAATATATACGCGATATCTGAATCACATACATATTTCCTACTGTTTTTTTATACTTCTTAACCCTTGACATTATTATAGGGCGTAGCTAAGCAATTTCATAGGGCAATCAACAGCCAAGTCTTGTTTTTTTAAAGTTTACCAAATTATGGGATCTCCTTGACATCCTCTGGGTCAGAAGTATTCGCGATTTCCCAACCCACAGTCAGTTTCTTACTGAAGTCATATTTTGATGTTAAGAACTTGTA